GAAAAATTAAATACAAAATATTTTCTTAAATAATTGAAATTATTTTATATAAAAAAGTTGTCAGAAAAAGGACTATTTTTTAATAAATTCATATGAATGGCATCAACTTTATATTATATAATCGTATATAAATTTATTGCATTGTTGTTAAATTACTATAACATTCAATTAGTCAATCCACGCGTCAGCCGCATTTTTTGCCCCTCTGGCGCTTTAGCATTATTTAGCTGACAAATTTATAAGAATTAATTGATTCTGTTATATTATATTATATTAAGTACTTACACAAATAACACCGCAAGTGCGAAGTGATAAATGCGCGTGTGTAGCGAAATATACGCAATGTAATTAATTATGAAATTATTATGTTGCATCTGGGCGATTTTGTTGTAAACATGCAGTAATTTTACAGATTTTTTTTGAGAACAGGAACTTATTGCATGTTTGTTGCGATTTTAGAATGCACATATTTTGAATTTTGTTATTTTGACAGTTATTTGGACAAGTCGCGATGATTTATATTAATTAATATTTGAATAATGCGCCGATCACTCAATGCGCACATCCGTTGATACAATTTTTAATTATATTATATAGTAAAAAAAAGAGAAATTGTACTTCAAACAAGTTTAGATTTAGCGGAAGTCTTTAATTTACTCCCGGAAGATGGGATGTCTGGTTTTTGATTTTTTCATGGGCGTGGGCTGTGATTCTCGGAATAATTTGAATACCACAACTGAAGTAGATTTTCAGAACCCATTCAAATTGAAAAAAAAAAAACGCTACGAAAGGTTTTTGTCAACTGTCACAACGGATTGAAGTAAGACAGTACCACACTTCTACGTTCAAGCCTAAAGCGTTATTGAAGCAACGGTGTTCTGGACCATTATAATACCTTAAAGTTAGAAAGTAGTATGCAGAACCATATTTTTGCGTTGAATCTTAGTCCAGCGGTGCTCAAGTCCATTAACGCCAGCGGACCAAAATAGTGTCCTGCACAGGACACAAAGCTTTATTTGTTATGAACTGGTAAGTTGGAATGGACACCTTTTCCACCTTGATAGGGTTCGAAGTCCAAAGCAGAGTCGCACTGTCGCACTGGTTGAACTAAATCAAGTTCAGTTCATAAGGCATTCAGGTTTAAATCACAGCCCACGGAAAGCTCGACCGCAATGAACAGACTGGCGTGAACTGAATAAGCTTACTGTTCCCCGTCTTACCAGAATTAAGTATTACTTCAGACCTCGTACCCAAAGCTCCTTCCAATTCAGCTCTTGCCTGGTTTCGTGCATTTCCGTGACAGTCGGGTCTACTTAACCGGGACGGACTCGGATTTTTATGCGGTCAAGAACTGTCAACTATAACAAGTACAATAATATTATTTTGTTTATAAGACATATTTTTTACCTTCCTCTGGTACCAAAAAACAAAGATTTGAAACTTTTAATCTCAGATCTTGTTAATAGTTAAGAAAACATTTTTTTGAGAATAACTATCGCTAAAATAAGTAGTTTCAACAATAAAAATGTTTTCAAGGGTTGCCACTATTATAAATTTAAAACATAAGAAAACATGTTTGAAGGTTACTATGTATCCAAAAGACATTATAAAACTATTAATTGAAGAAAATTCAATACTTACATAGGACATCGGGACCTGATTGTTGTTGTTTGTGACCATGCCATTGCGTTTGCCCAACAATGATTGATTCATGCGATTCGTGCCGTAGTACATTTCCCAAATACTCGGCTTCTTTCGATGCCACTCCAGAATGGAATCCTTATCACCCGATTCGCCGGATTCACCGCCACTACCGTTACCGTTACCGTTCGCAGCACCGGAGCCATTCGTGTTACCACCCTTACCGCTAATTTCGGCGTCGGTCGGCGGCGCTTGCAATGACTTCGCATCTAATTTGTTCAGTACCGGCTGTTGGAAGGACAAATTACGCTGCAATTGTGTTGTGGGCACATGTAAAGTGATCACATTTTGATCATGCTCGCGTTGTCGTTGTTCCACACGATCGCGACGCGGTAACGATGGACGTAGTTGCTGTTGAGCTATCTGAGTCGCGGGCGTTTGCAATTTTTCCGACTCAGCATAACAATCGGCGACGGGAAAGACTTCGGTAAGCGATTTGCGTTTCATTTTGAAATTCGGATCACTAGCGCAGCGTATGGACACGATTTGTTCGCGTATACTTGTTGGCACGCCATCGCAAATTGCTTCGTAGTTACCGCCGACATAACCGTAATCCGATTCGATTGTACCGAGACTGTGCGTTGAGCGACGACGTTCGAAGGCCTTCGTCATTTTGACGATATTGTGATTACGCACAAGACCGCTACACAGTTGGCGTATCTCCAATTCACTATGCTGATTCATGCGATCTAAATAGTTTTCTAGTTCGGTTTTCAGCGTCTTGATCATGCCCTCCAATTCGCGCGGCAATTGTTCGGTGGGTGTGGTCACACTCAATGACCTTTCAGGACTATGCGTTTTGGCGCTGCCACTGCGGCTGGTGTTGCCGCTCGCCTGCGAGAGCAAACGTATTTTATCGCGCACATCTTCGAGCAGTTCACGTGTGCTCTGAAAGTGTAGCTGATCCTCGTAACGTTTCATATAATGATCGGCCACCGAGACGGACTTCTCCGAGACGGTGCCAGTACCACCAACTATATCACTTTCGACATGATACGCATCATCCGGGCAGGAATTGATATATTTTGCACACTTGTAATTATTCTCCTCTTCCTGCTCCTCGGTGAGAAAAGTGGGATTGTCGATGCCACCAACAGCATGCAGCGACGACTTACGTGTCGACTTGCCAATACCGCCGGCTTTACGTTCGTTGACTAGCAGAAATGAGTCGAGGTCAATGTCGAGCAGCGAATCATCCACCATGTCATCGGGCCATGAACGACGTGGTTGATTGGCGGGATCGTAACCTTCCATAATGGTGGGCAATTGATGTTGCGTCACATGCGGTGGCACGCGCGTAGCCAACTTATCGCCCGTCTCTACGGACGACGGCGTTTGCAGGTAAGCAAGATGATGATGATGGTGATGATGATGTGCCTGTACAAATGCAGCGATGTGTTCATGCGAACTCAGACTTGGAAAATTCTTTAAATGACGATCGAGATTTTCTATGCTCGTCTCGAGTATGCGCAGATTCTCGCTGAAGTGCTGTGAGTTGGCATTCTCATCGGAGGTCTGTCGTTTTAATAAGAACTGTAAGCTAGCCGGTATTTTATCCGCGCCGAAGGTAGTCTCTGCGACTGCCTGGGACTTGCGTCCACTCTTGCTGTTACCACGACGCGCCACCATGGCCGCCGCAGACTCATCCTCTGCATCACCATCACAATCATCCTCACCGTCCAGCTCACTACAACCCGCAATTCCACTTTCGCCTTTACGACTTGCCACCGCTGTCGCGTTGCGTCGCCCGTAACACCGTTTCGTTGCGCCACCACCTTTGCTACTCATTTCGTTTGTTGTTTGATTAATTTTACTATTATCACCACTATTGGTGTTGGCTTTTGTATTCGTACACTCGGAGCGTGCACTTTTACTAGCCTTACCAGCGGCGCCGTTAGCACCAGCACCCGTGCGACTCACGTCTAGGATATCTATAACCGGTTCGCAATAGATATGCTCGTCCAGTGAATATGTAGAGCAAACGTTCGAACTGTAGTAACCGGACGAGCCGCTTTTGTCCGTCGAATAGTGCGACTGATGTGAACTGGTGCGTCCGCGACGCTCAACGCTACCACTCTGTGCCGACTTGGTATCACCACTTTTTGACGTTTGGCTGACTTTGCTGTTGCCGTTGCCTCGTGGCGGCGTCGCAACCGCTGCCGTCGCAGTCGTTGCCGGCGTGGTCGTTTCGTTGTGTTCGGCTGCGCTTACGYTGGACGAGGTTGTTGTTGTTGTAATTGTTGAACTGGTAGACTGTTTCTTGACGCGCACGGCTGCACCCGGTGCTGTGGCCGTTGCTTTTGGCACGCCTGTTGTTGTCTTAGCCTTTGCTGTTGCAGCTGTTGGCGTCTTCGCGGCCGTTGCCACTCTGAAAGGCGCTGTGCTAGCAACGTCGCTGGCGACTAGTAAACTGGCGTAACCATCATTGCTGTTCGCATAGTTTAGCCCGTTTTTAGTAGCTATATGGCTATTGGTGGTGGTGGAGGTGTTGTTGTTGTTGCTTTTGCTATTGCTGTTGTTTATCGGCTTGGTGTTGGCTATATTCGCAGTAGCGTTACTTTTGTTACTGCTAAGACTACTACTACTGTTGCTGTGGTTGTTACTATCATTGTTGTTGTTGTTACTGTGTTTGTTGCAAATGGCATTGGTGGTCATCATCATTGTCTTACTGCTGCTGTTGTTGTTGCTATTATTGTATTTATTGTAACTGGCACTGTTGTTGTTGTGGTGGTTGCTGTTGTTATTATTATTATAGCCGCTTTCGTTGTTGCCGCTCAGCTGTTGATGGTTATGGCCATTTTGCAGTAATTTGTCCGCGCGTCCACTGCTGTTGACTGCCAATGGCATTGAATTCGCATTGCCAACACTGGAAAATAAACAGCCAAAAACAACAACAAATTAATTAAAAGCAAGAAAAAAAATAACGAAAAATGAAGTGAAAATGTTGAAAAGGGAAATTTATTTTAGCCAAGTTAGTAGCTCACAAGCTGCTGTGTGTGCGCCTGACTATTTTCAATTTCGATTTACACACGCACACACTTGCAATTTTTTTTATCTGTTTACAAAAACCACACGCTATCGAGTTGGCTGCTAAATTGACACCGCATGTTGCAATAGCGGTGTGGCAACATGAAAAGTGGGCCAAACCACATGTGTCTTCGAGGCTGTCAAATGGACATTCTGGCTGCATTTAGCCGTCTGCTCCATTGCCATTGAAACTGCCTCGTTTGCCGACTGGATAAAAATAGAAAGTGACAGGCATTTAGTGTTCGCCATTTGTAATAATGACTTAAAAACATCGCCGATCGATAAGTTTTTTGTGAGAAAATAAGTTTTAGCGCCAGCAAAAACCGTTTGGCACAAGTGAGAGCTCATTAAGTTTGTAACAAATATGGTTTTGATTTTATTTTCACCTTCACTAGCGTCTATAAGTGTATTTAATGTTAATTATGGCCACAAAGGGTGCCCTGTTTTGACATTTTTATTATGCCCTTGAAGGCGTTTGGAGAAATATTAAAAAATATTTTTCTATATTGTTGTTGTATTATAATATAAAAGTAATTTTCCATTAATCTGCACCGATTGCTCTTGATATAGTGGTGCTAAGTTTGGCTTTAGTGCTCGCAATCATTCTAATGTAGGCCTTCAGTGCAGTACAATATTTATGCTTAAGAATACATAATATTTCTTTTAATAAGTAATATTTTGGAATATCTGAAGGAACAGTAAATGGTAGTTGGTTCCCTCAAACGTGTCATCTTAACACTCAACCATTGTTTCTTTGGAGCCAAGTAAAGAAAGAATACGACTTTATTTTCCATAAAGTTTCCAATTTCCTCTAAAAGTCTTCACCACTAGGATTTTTTATGATTTTATAACTATGCGATAACCATTTCCAAGTATCGATCTAATTTAAGAAATTTCTAGGCCAAGCAAGCAACGGTTAGAGCTCATTAAGTACTACAAAACCATTTGGTGCTCCCCCAAAACCATTATACGTGTGAAACATAGATTAAAAAGCTACCTTACCGCCAAGTATCATGCATTCAACTGCATTCCTTGTCTGTAAACTGTTCTACATTAGACCTTACCAGATCACTGGGGTGTCTTCCAAGTGTAGAACACCGCATTCAAAGAAAATCTTGTTTTTATTACAACAGGAACTAAGCGGCTTTGAAATCACTGAAGTGTCTTAATGTTTTGTCAAAGGTAGTGAAAAATGCATTGATCTCTTAGTCCATCTAATATTCTTATTATTATACGATCACTGAAGTCTCTTAAAGTTTTAAAGATACTAAAGAATGCCTTGAACTTTTACAATGGGTTCCAGAACAAAGTGATATCCCATATGAACTAGCCAAAGAAGGCATCAACCTACAGTTCAGACTTCGAAAAAGAAGGAATTTATATGCCTCTGTCCACTTGTAGACACATAATCGACAAAATATATTAAAAATTTAGCTGAGTCTCGGCGCAGTCAATCCCTGACTTGCTCAACAAGCAGGCAAACGTGGCATAAATGGAATGTGGGATAGCCATTCAAACTATTAAAATTCAAAAGGAGTTAGATGAAAACTCTAGTAGAAGTGCTCACACTTTGTCTCTGTGTAATTCGAAGAAAATTGCTTCATACAATCGACTATTGTAGAAACTGTAACGAGGTAGAAGCAGAGGAGATTAGAAAACATATTCTATGCGAATGTAAGGTTCTATACAATGCACAAATAAAACTTTTTGTACTGATGAGCTTCGTCAGCAGCACGGGTTGGGTCGGAGTGAAGACAACAGACCGAGAGAGTATTAGTCCCAACTTTAATGCAATGGGTCTCCTAAAGGCCATGCTGTGTCGTCAGACAACCACTCCATCCTCCTAGCTACTTTACCACAGTATAAGAGGAGTTGTAGGTTTGAAGTTGGATGGGCCAGTTGCTTTCAGAAAGAGTTTTATATGTCTTATTAACCTAAAATTGTAAGAATATTTGTCTTATACTTGTATGTGGGATTAACCCAAAATGATAAGATTACTTGTCATAAGTCGAAATACTGCTTCATTTAGAAGAATAAGTAAAAATATATAATAGAATTATAGGAACTCTAAGCGTTCAAAATATCACAAAATCCTGTTCATTTAGATGACTGAGAAAGAGTGACGCTTTAAGGTTTGATCCTATATCTATTACTATCTACTTCTACTACTATCCTTCAAAAAGTAGTAGTCTTTTTTATATATGTTAAATGATTTCGATGTAAAGGTATAAGGGTTTTGTGCTTAGAAGAGAAGACTGCGGTAGGCATTTTCCCTTCAATCACACCATAGACAGTAGACATAGAAGATAATGAGAGAATTATAGGTTTCCAAACTCGCTCTGGAAATTATATTAAAGACGATGTGTATATTAGGAAGCTAATAAAATTTGATAATAACAAAGTGCAGGGTCTGATTAACTTAACCTGATTTATAATTTTTCAATTTTAAGCTGACTAACTAAAAAAATATATAAACTAGTGAAGTGAGTGAGATCGAATGATTTTGGGTAACTATTAAAATTTTGCTTAATACCTAATTTGCTTAGACATTTTTTACCTCAAAAAATATATATAAAACGGGTTTAATGTTATATTTTATGGTACGTAACAAAAGTTTATGTGTTTCTTTTGCAAAATTGTTTTTTAAGTCGTTTTAGTTTAAAGTTTTATTTTTTACGAATTTCATTTATTCAAGAAAAATCGTCTTCAAACACGCTTAAACTCTGCACAGCACACAACCTCGACATATACAAGGTAGCAAAGTTTCACTTTCGCTTTTGCTTTTGCTTTTGCATCATCTTAAGCGCGCAAGCGTCGACCGTAGTGGCAAGAGCGTGCCATCCACAGCAAACAACAACAACAAATTCAATTGAAAATTGCAAAACAGAGAATTTCGGATATGCACTTTAAAAGGAACAAGTAAATATCAGCGCTGCGCCTGCGCCATGCACGATTTATGCGCGAACGAATGAGCGTTTTGGAACCTTTGAGAAAATTCCGTTAATCGTTGAAATACATACAAACACACACACATATAATCGGGAAAACCAAAAGCGCTAATAAAGCAACTACAAAAAAATAGTAACAGAAGTTAACGGCTTTCGATTGCGACATTCGCACTAAACTCGTTCTAAGTTAAACAGGATTGTGGCGTAAATAACGGTTTTTGGTATGAAAATTTAAGTAACCGAGCGCCATAGTTAGCACAAGTTTGTAAGTAAGTCAAGAGGCAAATGCCACAATTAGTCTACGACTCTTGACTAGTCTGTGCGCTAAGTGGCCAGCGGCCAGCGTTTGGCCGCCGCGTGCCTGACCGGGCGCGCAAGTTTGCCTCAAAACACAAAAAAAAAAAACAAAAAAAAAAAGCGTCAAGAAAACCTAATGCGAAAATAGCAACAAAAACAAAGCGCGTTCACCGGCGCGGCACGTCAAATTGCGACGCAGCGACGTCAGCCGCGGCGGAGGCAGCGTTTGCTGTCAGCAATGAAAGTGGTTTGACATGCCTTCTTATGGCTTTGGCATTTTGTCATGCCACATCCGTGAGGTAGCACCGGCTAGCTGTAGAATACACATGTGAAAATATAGCATGCAGCCAGAATGGTTAGCTGCCGAGGAAATGTGGTCTTCTATGCAATTCTTGTTTTTCAGTCCACCTTTTGTATATATTATATTATATGTATGTATGTACAGCACCACTTAAGTCATACATAACACGCCCCTCGCTTGTCATTGAGTTGGTTGTTTTGTTGTTATTTTTATGCATGTAGCGCATGCGCGTGCACTCTCATGTGACGCTGTGTTGCAAGAATATTAGCATTGCGCAAATTGCTAACACAAATAACATTATTAGAAGCAATAAAAGTATTACAAAGTAATAATAAAAATGTTGTAACATATATTTACGTTTGTTATTGTTTTTTTAATTTTATTTACTACCCATGCATGCAAAGTCTGGTGTTATTTCGTCGAAATGGCATAGGTGTGCATTCGAGCACATCCCCAGCGACCGCCAATATAGGCTTATTCGACGTTATTTCGTCATGCTCTTCAGCATTTGCCCCGCACCTTCGTGTTGTGTATTGGCAGATTAGCTAATTAACATGTGTTCGCTGGCGGCAAGGCTGAGCTAACTGAACTCGATTTCAGTGGAAGTAAATACAGAGATGTGTACATGACTCAGGGTCGCGTCAAAGGCGGTCAGTTAATAAATGAAATAAAAAAAAAAAATTTAAGGAGGAATCTTAGTTATATTTTGTGGTCATATTTTTTATTAAGTATCAAAACTGTTAACGAAAGACACTTTTTTTAATATAAATGTTTACTGAATTATAATAGCTAACTTTAACGCCTTCTAAAAAGTTAAATTGTGGCCGAACCACAATTTTGCAAAGTACTATTGCCTACATTTTGGCGCATTGCCAAATAAATCTGTGCCAAAAACTTGGGAAATTAATTTACTTTTTTGTTTTAATTCTTTAAAAGCTAAAAAATTAAGCTATTGTTGCCTACATTTCGGCGCATTTATAAAAGAAATCGGCGGATGTTGAAAGTTATAATGACATGAAAGAAAATTATTTAATTTTTAGAAAACACTTGACGAAACTTTTGCATTTGGTCTTTAATAAGAAACATATGAAATTTATATAAAAGGTATAGAAAATCGTGTTTTCGAATATTTGATATTTGATGATTTTTTATATATGTTCATATATAAATGATTAATATGATGAGTTTGATTTTGTAATGAGCGTTCTAATATCTCAAAATGTCTCCAAATATGTTTTTAATATTATTTTTCGTGAGTACAAACCAATCTTATTAATATTGTTCTTTGGCCAA